AATCCAAAGGCAAGAACAGGACTTTGAGGCTGACCCAAGTGTCTCTGACAGCAAGCACCTTGACGTGACTCTTGGACAGAGAACCCTCAGAAGAGGCTTTCTAGAATGAAGTCTTGGAATGCTTGGTGCTATTTTAATATTAGTGTGGCTCTAATTCTTTCTCTAACCCTTTAACTCTTGAGAGAGATGAGTCTTCTGGCAAGTCATGTTCTCCCCAGCGCACTGATGAGTAAGTTGAATAGAACCTAAAAGAGCAGATCTGGCAGAAGCATGAATGACAATTGAGAATCACTGGCCCTTCTTTTTTTCCAAGTCATGTTTTGCTCATTTTAGGCGGCCAGTAAGGTAAAACCACATGAGGGGGAGGAAGTTACTGTTCCAGAATGGATCAAAATCAAAATCTCATTGTTCCAAGTCAAACTTTCATATAGGCTGACTCCCTGGATTTTTTCTGTGTCAAAATGTTCAAAAATATTACCTTTATGCACTGTAGCCAAGTCAAGTCTCCAATATCGCAATGCTCTGAACAAAGTTCCTGGGGGCTCTATTAGCCATACTTGTGTGGGAAAAGGCAACCACGTATTTAGCATGGACAGTTCTTCTATTGGACTTTCAGAACCAGAGACAGAACTGCAAATGGTTACCTTTTGCTCTGTTTGACTCCCTGTTAGAAAGGTTTCTCAAACTCTGCCTTTGTCCTTTTAATTTATGTTTACAGATTCAGTTTCAGTTCTAAGAATTATCAGCTAATTTCATGCTTCATTTCAGTCCATAAAGGCTAAAAGGTACTTTGTCATCAATACAATCCTTTTCATCCTTTTCTCCTCCCAAATTCAGCCTGAAACCCTGTTGCACCTTTCCTCACTCTCACCTCTGCTTTCTCTCTGTACTGCTCTGGAGATCAGAAGAATTAACAGCAAGTGGTCCCTTTCATCTCCGCCTCACCCCTTCCCGCCCCTGCTCAGCCTTTCAGTAGGTTAGTCAGCCAGCCCTGCATTCCTGGGAATGACTGAGGGAGCCCTGGAATCTCTCCACAGGGTGAGTTTTCTGTTGTGCATGTTTGGCCCAATGTATTTTGATTTATGAATATTAAATAATTAGACATGACAGGCCTTACCTCCATCTTGCACCCTTTAAAAACATAAGAGCTCTTTTATTTCATGGCACTTGACTTTGTTTATTCAGCATGATCAGGGCATATTCAGGCTATAGCAAGCCTGTTAAATATTTACCCATGAGGCGGATATTTATACATGAATCAGCAGCACTTATCAGTATGTGATGCTGGAAGTCAGGTTCAGTACCCGCAGAAGCGAAGAAACTACCAAGTGAAATAAAGGGTACAGAAGTGTCCTTTTAAAAATAAACTCTCAGTTAAAAGTATCCTTCATAGAAACTGAAGTGCTTCACACATTGAGGCTTATCCTACACAACTAAGTCATTCAAAGTCAGATGTGACAGAGTGGTTGGTACCTCGCATCCAAGCGCCAGTAAATCTTGTTGCTTGGTGGGGGGAGCACTGAGAAATGAATAAAGCTGCTGCTGTGTGGAAAATGAAAGGGAGTGGAGCTTTGCAGCACAGTGCCTGCATGCACAACGTTCCGCATGCCTCTAGAAACCCTTCAGCCTGACTGGAATCCATACCCAGCCCATCTTTGTAACCCTCCTGTTAAAATTTCCCTGCTCTTATGGGCGAACATACTTCAGCAGAAGCAGCATGGACTCTGGAAACAGACAGACCTGACCATTTTCTAGTTGTATGAACCCAGGAGATTGCTTCTGCTCCCTGAGTCCTGATTTCTTCACCTGCAAATTACAGTGAAGATTCCCACTGTAGTGAAACATGGGGTAGATTAAATTAGATCATAAGAAAGCACCTAGCCACAAGTGTTAGTTCTTGTATCCCCTGAAGCAGAGTGCAGAGACAGACCTGGAAATGAGACGGGACAGTCTTTAGACTATCTCCTCATCTGCTTCTTCAATTTTTGTTTAAAGGCCATTGTTTCCCCAGGGGAGGGGGCGCGAGAGTGATTTAAATTCAGAGGGTTACTATAGATTCTTCTCCTTTTCGTTGATGTCATTTTTATTTTCCCCATCATCCCTTGTGTCCCCTGTCCCTGTCCCTCTCTCTCCCACTTACCTAAGAGACATCATGGTGTTTATTCATTTCTCTAGTTTTTATACTTTGTTTTGTCAAATTGTCTGCTATTCAAATGCCCAGCATTTGTTTTGGCATGCTCACTTACTTTACTACACATAATTCTGTCAAACTCCCCCTATTTTTTGAAAATGACTGTATTTCATCTTTCCTTATGGCTGAATTCCATACTATGGCTAATTCCATACTATCATTTCATCATCTGTTGATGGCCATCGAGGCTACTTCCATGTCCTGGCTATTGTAAATACTGCTGCTGTGAACACTGGAAATGTATGGGGTTTTTGTATTGATGATTTTGTGTTGTTTGGATAGATGCCCAAAGTGTGGGGTTGCTAGGTTGTACAGTATTTCCATTTTTAGGTTTTTTAAGGTAAGTCTAGATTGCTTTCCATAATGGTTGCACCAGTTCATGTTCCTACCAGCAGTGTAATAGAGATCCTCTTCCTCCTCATCCTCTCCATCACTTGTTGTTGGAGGTCTTTTTAATATGTGCCATTCTCAAGACTGTAAACTGACAAGTCGTTGTGGTGTTAACCTGGACCTCTCTTATGGGAAGTGTCATGAACATTTTTTCCATGTGTCTGTTGGCCTCGGGATATCTTCTTTGGTGAATCATTTGTTCATATCTGCTGTCCATTTATTCATTGAGTTGCTTGCTTTTTCAGTGTTGAATTGTATATTTTTTTAAATCTTGAATATTAACCCCTTAAGTTAATATATCGTGTTATTATCTCTCCCATTCGATAGGGCTTCTTTTTAATCTTCTTGCAGACACAGACTCTTCATTCCTTGTATTCAACTTCATGAATGATTAAGAACTTATCCTGTAATATTTTATATAGGTCAAAGTCCAATATAATCGACTTCCATTACAAATTATTAATTTTTTGGTGGAATTTTATTATGCTAAGGATTATTCTTTTAAGTAACCTATGAGAAGACCAGATCCTGTATTCTCTGTTATACAGCTGTTTCACCAATGGCTACAGCATATAAATACTAGATTTTTTGTTGTTATTATAGAATTTTCCTCTTAATTGGTTTTCCATCTTAAAAGAACATTAGAATCTTCTAGTTAGATGTGTGCCCTCTGTGTACTGCTTACAAAAGAGAGAACAAAAAAACTTTCCTCTACTTCACAAGCAGTTATGGGAATTTCCTTAGTCTTCTTCAGACGTTAGGTGAAATCTTATGCAGTGCCTAAGCACAAAAGGAAATGGTGGTCTTGCCTATTTCATGTGATTGTAGAAGGTAGAAGATTCATTAATTATAATCCTTAGTCAATTGTTGCCATAATTTTCTCTGTTGTCAAAATTGTGCTTTTTATGATCTGAGTAGGAAAAATAAAAGGTATGATCTGAGCAGGAAAAAGTGAATATTTCTGCTCCATGTTGATTTTCTCACGTCACCTAGGTTTTATTTATTTGTTGGAATTTTTCATCCCTGCCGGTAAATAAATATATTACTCATTTTTACCAGGAAAATGAATTTCAGAAATCTATAGTTAATAGGGAGAAGGGTGGGTCTGGAGTCCTTTCAGTATTTACATACATTGCTTCCTGTATCACAAACTCTAGATTGAGTCTCTCCGCTCTGAACTATTTAGGAATGGTTTTCTAGGCTGTTACTATGAAGCATTTTGCTTCTATTTACAACCTTGTACGGTAGGGACTTGGGTAATGAATAATCACAGCATTAAGGGATTTTAGTGGTCTTTTGAGATCTCATTGTATTACAGAGATGGCTTAAGGGCCTTACAGAAATATATACATTAAAATACAATTCAAATAATGAAACAAATTAGGGCCAAAGGAAAGTGAGAGTGAGAAAGAAGATGAAGTAAAGATTAAAGACGGTAAGTAAAACCCACATGCTGTATGACTCTAAACACTTTCTTTTAATAATCATATGCTGGTTAATTTAAACTTAAAGGGGAATCTCTGTGATGATTTTGTAAACTATGTAAACTATTTCTGGATCAACATTGGGTCTTAGTGTTTAGTTCGCTGATTTCTGACTGTACCTTCTTGTTTAGATGATTTGAATTATCAGTGTTCACTAGGACTAGTAGCAGAATTGCTACCCATGTTGGCCCATAGATATGGAACCATGTAGCTTGGTTTCTGAAAATGTTTAATTAGTTGCCACCATTTAAAAATCTCCATTTTAGTCTCTCCAGACTAAATAATTCGGATTTCTGGCTTCACTTGAAAAATTACAATCTGGTGAGAAAAGGCTTGTATTTCCACTTGTCAGAGGTCTGCTGTGGCTGAGCAATGTTCACAGAATGTCTAGTTCTTTAGAAATCCACTTGGTTCATACCACCTGTTGGAGTTCATGGCCCCTGACCTAGACCGCTGCCGCACACTAACAGCGAGGAAACTAAATTGCAAGGAGGCTGTCCAAGGTCACAAAGCTGGTAAACTGCACAACTGTCACAGTGTTACACCAATGCAGTTTAGTCCAGGTATGGTGTTTAATGAATGACCTGCACTGTGCCCAGCTCTACATTGGACATAATGAAGAGTACGATTTCATTAATAGGCACAACCCATTAATAATAGTCAGACATTGACCCATGCCAATCAGAATTTGCTAAGTTGTACTGTTGGGTAATTAAGATCATTAGTTGTTAGTCACACACAACATGAACAGATTGAGCAACATGGATTAAAATAAGGAATGTTATCATAAGCAAAGCCCATAACGGTCCCATCATCATTCATGCAGGTAGTTGGTGGGGAGACTTTTGATAAGAGAAGCCAAGTATGCGTGGGGGTATCACTTACATTGCTTGAGCCCTAAGAGACATATGTCCATTGTTCTGTTGTCCTTTCAGTGCACTTGGAGGCTCCTCAGCGCTTCATATCCCAGCTTTTCCAGGAGGAGGATGTCTCATTGATTATGTTCCACAAGTGTGCCACCTGCTCACCAACAAGGTAAAGCACGGCCCTGACTTCCCACCTTGAGAGACAGACGCCGTCAGGCCTCCAGGGGAGCGCAGACCTGGCAGAGTCGTACAGGCCCGTCCTCCTCACCCCATCTTAGTTTCAGAAACAAGTCCCGCCTTGTACCTTTCCTGCTCTGAGTAACAGCTGGTCAGTATCCCTGTTTCTCTGCCTTGTTCTTACTCTTCTAAGGGTTCTCACGTCCTGTCCCGGTCTTATCTCTTCATGTTTTTAAATTTATATCTGGAGATTTAAAATCCCCTCTTTCTTGAATTTCAATGATGCCCTTTCGGCTAGATCATTCCCCTTTGGGTTTTAAATTTTTGAACGCCGTTGTTGACCAGTGAACTAGTAGATGCCCGCATGTGTGTGTGTGTGTGCGTGCATTTGCCACTAGTTGATGTCAGGGCAAGTCTGTAACACTTGTCTTTGTCTCTTTTTGCTTCTGTCTACCTCACATTTTAAAGTCAGTTCTTGGTTCTCCCTAACATGGCAGGAGCAGTTCAATAGAGTTCTGCTCACAGGGGCAGGATTTTTAGGTCAGCTGGTCTTACCAGCTGGGCACGTCAGCTCATCTAAAGCCATCTCCTAGCTGCATTAAGGAATCACTATTTGGCAAGCAGCTGAGTTTACAGTAGTGGTTGTCAGATATTCCTGAAAAGTATTAAAAATATAGTTGTTAATGTCCAGCCAATATATATACCTAAAAACTGGAGCTACTAACCTACAAGCAATACTGACTCTTCCCTCTCCCATATGGACGGACTTAACTTGCGTAATTCTAGCAAAAGGGCTATTTTCTTTGCTCCTATTGATTTGTTCACATTGGCTTGGAAAATAGATCCTTTGTTTATCTCTTTCATTCAAAAGATAACTCATGTCTAGATAGAAAATATTTTTAAAGTATCATAATATTTCAGAGCCTTCAGCATTATTTTTTAAATGCCAAAGAAACTAAAATCTGGCGACTTTGTGGTCTTCATGCTTGGCATGGATTCCAGGCCATTTCACTCTCATGGAGTGGCTGCTTGTCATGGGCCAGATTCCCCAGCCTCTGCCCTCCTCTAGAACTGATCAAAGGACAGAATTCTTATTTACATTGTGGAACTTTGCACTGCCTTCAACTCTGTGTCCCAGCATTATGGAGAAAAATGCAAATTTAGCCTTCCAGAACCAAGACATCTTTTCACATCTCTCCAATTGAGATTAATTTCTAGTTATACATTTTCTTCAAAAAATTATAATACTGTTTTCCCAGAAATATAAGAATCAGTCAATTTTACTTATCTGGTTCCCTTTCATTAATTTTACTTGTCTTTAAAATTGATGTTCTTCTGTTTGCTACAAACGAGGACAGTATGGCTGCTTTTAGAAACAATCTCTTCAAATGAATTTCCATAATTACGTTGGATCTATCTTTATAGCCAGTTTTGTTGTGGGTTTCTGTTAAAATGGTTTTCTGTTTTAAAAATCAAGTATACAGAACTGTTTTCATCCCCTTTTTAAACAAAGCCACTTAAGCAAACTTATCATCTGTTTTTCTTTTCCCAAAATAACATTAAGCCTGCAAAGTAAGCACTGTTTTTGTAAATTGACATAAACCCTATTATATAAATAGAATTGTTCTACTTTAAAGGGTATAACATGGCTATCAGTACCAATTGTGTCAAGGTTATTTCAAGCACTTTATCTTGGACTTTTGTCAGCCATGGAAACTCGGTGTGACTACAGCCAATATAAACCATCTTGGGGGTCTCTCTCTTAGAAGGAATATATTTTTTTGTTAAAAACTGATGGATAAGTTACTAACTTTCAGGTGTCTAATTAGTTCACAATTTTTTTTTTACAGAGACTATCACTTGGCGATAACAAGGAAATAGAAAAAGGCAAAATTTCCTGTTGTAACACTCCTTATTCTGAATACTAGGGTTTGTTTTTTTTTTTTTTTTAATTAAGCATTACCCTGCCTTTTCAATAGAAATTGTGTACACAATCACCAAATAACCCTATTTAATGAGGGGAAGATCCTTTTTCTGGAGATATCTAGTTGTTAAATGCAGAAGGAAGGTAGAATTTAAAAATCATCATTTTCACATCTTAGTGAAATAGTTGATTCAGACAAGAATCTCCAACAGATCCTAAAACCATTAGGTGAAGAGGTTGGGAAGTAGATCTTCATGCTTCAAGAGGTACATCCATGGACCAGCCATGATGCAAAGAGGAACCTTTCCTTCCCAATGGAGTAGCTTGACTCTCATCACCTTAACCAATGAGCAAATTCAGTATCACCTGTGATACAAGATGTTTCTTGCTAAAAATACCTAACAATAAACTAACCACAGCTTTCATTCTAACTTCCAATTTATAAGGAATACAGAGGGTAGAGGAAGAAGCAAGGAAACAGAGAATCTACAAGGACATTCTACAAGACAACTAGACTTCTTTGAAGAGCCTGTGTCACATGTGCTTGTGCAGGTGCACACGCGGACATGTGGACACACTCTTAGGGATACTGTTGTACTAGATAAACACCTGGTCCCTGAGTAAACCCTGCTTTATGAAAAAAATATTTGCAGGATAGTTGAGAAATTTTGAAAATGGACAGGGTGTTAGATGAATTCAGAGAATGATTGCTAAGTTTGTTGGATATGATAATGGTATTGTGATTATGTGGAAAAATGTCTTGGTTTTTTTTGTGATGCATGCTGAAATATTTAGGGGTGTCTTGATATCTCTAAATCTTTTGAAATGTTTCAGAAATATTGATTGATAAGTTGATAGGTAGATGCCTGGATGAAGCAATTAGGCAAAATGCTCATAGATTTTGAATATCAGTGAACAGTGTATGAGTGTTCGCCTTACTATTCTATTTCTCTGAATCATTGAAATTTTTCATAATAAATCATTTAAAAATGTCCTAGTCCACTTCTCAACTTTGGGTTTCAATTCCAGGTGCAGTACGTGATTCAAGGATATCACAAAAGAAGGGAGTATATTGCTGCTTTCCTCAGTCACTTTGGCACGTAAGTGCTTCTTTGTTTAAACTATACACCAACACACCGACAATGCCCTGGCTTCCCTGGCTTCATGCAGGGCTTAATTAAGAAAATAGCACTTAGTTCTTACATATGATATCTTTTCAATGCTGTTTTGATTCTTTTGGATATGTTGCTTACACAAAGACTCCCAGGGAGGCATTTAAAACATTTTATAATCACTTGTTAGCAAATAATAGAATCAAATATCTTCCTGGGAGCAGTAGTAGCATAACGAGCCCCAAACACTATACTAACAGTGGCTGTAACGCTGCTGATCTGAAGTTCTTCACAGTCTACACAGCACGTCCCCTCCATCCCACAGCAGTCATGAGGTGATGCACGCTGGCACTGCTGCATTTTACTGAAGGAAGCCCCGAGACTCTGAGGAGTTCAGGACCATGAAGAAAGCCACACACCTGCAAGAGATCCAATCAGGGTGGGAACCCAGTTTTTCAGGACTTGGGTGTCCTGACTGGACTCCCCACTCCTGAGATGTGAGAAGGAAATCTAGCCTTAGACACCAAAGTAATGAGTCACACTTGGGATTAGAAGTGGGGAAAAGGCCCCACCCAAAAGGAAAACGGAAGTAAGTAACTGCAGTGACTGGTGGGCATCTCCTCCTGCTGCTGTCCTGAGCGCCTGCCTTTCCCCCGGAGGCCAGTGGTGGTGCTGTTTTGCAGCTCTGTTCTTAAATGACGTCAGGGGCCTTCGCAAGTGGCTACTTGGAGCTTACTTAGCTCACTTTTTCCTCAGTTTTCTTTAAAAGCTGGAGCGTTCTACCCATTTGGGGGAACTGAACACTAAGAGTTTTAGTATTCTGGTTTTATCTCATCTTATTCTTCTGCAGAAGACGGTTGATACATACATAAAAATATATCTAATAATGCAAAAATAAAATTTCAACAAGGCAGTGAAATTGGAAAAAAGGGGAAAGTGGGGCTAAGAGAAAAGATAAAATCAAGAACCAGATTTGCTCTTCCTTAGGATGTGATTTTATAAGTTGTGGCATAATTGTAAGCAAAATTTCTACTACTCAAAAAAATGTCAAGAAATTTTCTCATTTTCCTTTGTGAATTTTTTTATGTCTCCAAAATAGAAGTGTCAATATCTAAACAGTATGACTGTCTCTCACTTGAATCTTATTTAATACTTAAAATTTGCTTCAGTTTTTATGAACATTTTTTAGAAAGTACTTATGATACAAACAGTGGTTTATAAATGACACCACTGGTCTTCCAAGTTTCAAGTAGACGATCCTTAATAAATATAATGAAAATGAAGCAGTTAGCAGGATTACCTCCCGGGGAGGGGGTGTGCCCCACCTACTCCATTAGCATGCAAGAAAAAGATGAAAATTATTTTTGTCTGTTTGTCTGTTTTATTATGCATATGATAACGTAACATAGTCATATATAAAACTACTCAATGATATATCTAGGCACTACTGTTGCACCATCTGCATAATAAAAAGAATTCTGTGCTTGGTTTTGCATATGGGTTGTAGAGTCAAAAAAAAATTAGATGTCACCATTAAAACACTGAGTTAAATTCATGAAAAGCGTTCCTTCATGAAAAGGAACGCTTTTCATGAATTTAAACTGGTGAATGAAATTACTGACTTAAGTCAGAAAGTCTGAATGACATCCCAGCAGTCTTCGGGCAAACCCCTTAACCTTCAGAGCTTACCTTTGTAATGGGTGCAACCATACTTGCTTCTGAAACTGAGGAGAAGGCACCTAAGGACAGCAGAGGCCTCCTCACATGGATGAGAGGGAGCATCACTCCTGGCCTCAGTGGTGTAGTAGTACCACCTTACGCTGACAGCCCCGGGGATGGGGAGGGAGATGGGAGCTGAGCTACCAGAATTCTGCCCAGGCCCTTGACTCGTGAGGTGTGCCGCTCCCACTGACACCCAGCACCCACCCAGCTAACTACTCCCTGCTACTTTGTTTTGAGCCCAGTGGGGAACACCGGAGAAGCACAAATGAAAAGGGTCCAAGTACTTTGGAAGAAAATAATATATAATTCTGAGCTTAGTGATATTGTCATTGTTTGTTCCCATTTAGTGCCTAAGTGAAAATGAGACTCATCACGATATTGACAATATGGAGAAATTCTAGCACCATTGCTGACCCGATTTCTTAATTTGTCCTTTTCTTCATAGCCAGTAATTAACATTTGCATAGCAAGATATGGTTTATCTCACTTACTTTCACAATCCCATAATGAAATTTGAGAAAGTATCATTCTGTTTGTTTCTAGAGGAGGAAACTGATGCTCCAAGAGTCAAATGCTTTGCCTGAGGTCACAACAGATAGTAAACGACAAAGCTGTAACTCTAACCTAGGTGCTCTCATTCCAAATCCCAGGTCCTCCCCACAGTAATGCTTACTTGCCTTACATGCATCTCAGAATCAATAACCCTGACTTTGTGAATATATTCCTACTTGGTTCTGTCTCTTTTATTCCTTATGTTTAGAGGTGTCGTGGAATATGATGCAGAAGGATTTACAAAACTCACTCTACTGCTGATGTGGAAAGATTTTTGTTTTCTTGTACACAGTGAGTATATTTTTGCTATTTATATGTCAGCATCCATTTTAAAATGTATTAACTCATATGTGATAATGAGCATGAGATCCTTTAGTGTCCTAACTTGGTTCCTTGTACTTTTGCATAAGTGTATTTATCGCAAAGTCTTTAAGGTATAGTTTGCCCCTCAAGGCAGGCTTTGCAAAGTCGATAGACATTTTTGATGGTCAGGATTGGGGTTGGGGAAGGTTGTTGCTTTTGGTATTTAGTGGGTAGAAGTCAGGGATTTCACTACACATCCTGCAATGCACATGATAGCCCTCTACAACAACAAAATCTAATGCAAAATGTCTGAAGTGCTAAGTAAAGAAATTAAGAAATTTAAGAAACCTTACCCTAGAACAGCTATCTGTTTCAAAATATCTTTTCTGTATGAGGCCTCAAACTTTCAAGATTATTTGAAACACATTTGCTTTGATCATTTGGTTATTTTCCGTATTAAATGGAAGATTTACAACTCTGATAATATATCTTACAGTTGGGACAATGTTTTATTGTATTCCTGGCCACACTTTTCTGTGATTGTCCTTGTATAGTCATATTTAAATGTGTGTTGTGTTATGTTAATCAGTTAGTCAATAAATGTTGATCCAACTTTTTCTTGATGGATAAAGTCTCTTTAGTTTATTTATTTGCTACATAAGAGCCAGAGGCCAATGGTGCTAGGTTCAAGTTGCATGTCAGCCAAGATCTTTATTTTTTAGTAATTTGTTAGGCAAAATGCTTGGTTTTCAAGTCAGAGGTAAAGGAATTCCACCTCTCCCAAGTCTAGTTAAGAAAAGTTGTGAGGGGCCCCCCCGGTGGCGCAGCGGTTGAGTGCTGGGTTGCGAAGCTGCCCGCAGCCTCTGCAGCGCCGGTTCAATCCCCGGCTACTCCCCGGGCCACCAGAGGAGGGTCCCACATGGCGCACAGACCTCTCCTGCCGCCCGCTGCTCCCCTCAGCAGTGTACTTCGGTCCTTCTGCCTGCTCTGCTCTCCACTCTGGCTCTGGTGAATCCTCTCACCCTCCCGCACTTCTGACTGTACCCAGTGCTTGTATAAATAAATAAATCTTTAAAATAAATAAATAAAAATACATGCCTCTTTTAAAAAAAAAAAAAAGAAAAGAAAAGAAAAGTTGTGAGTTTGGGTGACTTATATAGAACTACCCTAGGCCTTAGTAAACTGTTTCAGGAAGAGAGGCTTTGGCACTATTTAGCCACAAATAGTGGCTATCTGTGTAAAGATACTCACACAGATGTAAAGATATAAATATCTTTACACAGATAGTGTAAAGATTGACTTGTGAGGCTTTTTCTTCCCCCAGCAGATTTAGCATCTTGATTGTGATTTACGTAGGTTAAAATAGTTCTTAAATTAGTTTGTATTTCCTGGTTTTACACCAACAGATTGTAAGGGAGGAAATCCAAAAATGTCCTTAGTGGTAAGAGAAAAAAGCCTCTAATTAGAACTTTACCATGGTTATAGAGATAACCAATAAAAGTATAGCCAGCCGCTCTCAGTTACACAGATGATCTCAGTTATAGAGATACAAAGATAACTGAGAGTTGACTATACTTTATGGAGTTTGTTCTCCCTGCCTTTTAAGTGCTCCCCAATGATAGACATGTAGTGCCTCATATTGAGCAAACAACCAACAGCATGTCCTACATTGAGACCGTGTAGGTATTAGGTCTATTAATTATGTGCATGAATAAAAAAGAGAGTTGGAGAGGTAAAGATTTTAATCTTGTAACTAATTGCATGACCTTGTTCAAATCATTAGGACAAGCCTCTCTATTCTTTAGCTTCCTTGTGGCCACCAGGGATCTGATTATTGAGTCCTGTGGAGATGTTGACATGGCGCTTAACCTCTAATACAAGACCAGGTACAAGAGGAAATCTCAATAATCAAGACCTCCTCACGATCTCCTCTCTGGTCTCTGCCTTCTGTGGCCCACTGGACTCAGCCAAATAGTGGTGCTTCCAGTTATCACTTCAGGTACTGACTCTGCTTTTCCTCTGTGAAATCCCACTTTCCACTTCAGCCCTCCTCTGTCTGGGGTCAGTGGTTCTGTTTCTAAACTGGTAACCCAACCCCGGGTGTCCTTGTTTGTCTCATAATCCTGGACACTTGCTAGAGTGACTGATCTGGCGCGTTTCCCCTGGTCTGGTGTGTAACACAGCTTTGCAAGAGAGATCTATCCCCTGTCCAGATGGTGGGAGTGGCAGAGGCCTCCCAAGGTAACTGTGGGAAGGACACACAGAAGGATAATTGTAAACTTTTTTTTTTTTTTGTGGGACCCTCGCTGATGGCTGGGGATTGAACTGGCGCAGCAGAGGCTGCGGGCAGCCTCGTAACCCAGCGCTTAACCGCTGCGTCACCAGGGGAGGCCCAGGACAATTGTAAACTTTAAATCAGATGAAAGCTTCAACCAGTTTTCTCATCAAATTGAGGCATAAAGGACTTGGTCCCATCCAGAAACTGTTTTCAGGAAGGTTTCCTGGCCATCATCTAAGTGACGTGACATCTCAAGTCTTTCCTAAAATTGCTTTGGTCCCCTAGTCCTGGTTCTGCTTTCATGTCTGCTAAGATGAGCTCAGATCATATCAGACGTAAGGGAAAACAAATATTCTTGGCATAGCTCATTCTAACCTGTGTTTACAGATGCTCTTCTGCGGGTGGCCAGCAAGAGTGATGTTCAGGGGTAGAAGAGCATCCCCCTATCAGCCCTGCTGGCTCTCTGGTTGGCACGTTCTGGGTTATAGCAATTTGTATTCCTTTGGAAGGTCTAGTACCCGACGAACATCTCCATGGTGTGGTGTGTCCATGCTTCTCACAACTCCTCCACCTTCCTCTTAGCTTTTCCAAGTCAGACTTGCAAAATTCAATCCCAGAGTCCTCTGTTCACTTTCACCCTCAGAAACAAAGAACCCCCAGATGCTCATTAGAATAGCTACACGGAACCTAGGGATTTGTTTAATTTACTTTCTCCGAAGTGTTTCCTTGGGCTGTTCTTCCTTTGCTCCCCAGGCTGTTTGCTCTTGTCTCTTAGGTCACTGCCCACACTCCTCTCTCCTGGCAGGTAGGACCTGCTGATGAATCAAGGGACTTTGATGCTGTTTCCTGCTCCATCATTAATGCACAGCCCATCTTTAAATAAATTATTTCCACCCTTCAACTTCTTTCTTATATCTAAAATGTTGGACTTGGTACATCAGAGCAAAGCTTGGTCAGAGAATGTGTTTTATTCAGGCACGCATTAAGCTGCTGACATTTACCTTTCTTCAGAAGCATGTGCTCCCTCGGTGACAACACCCGGGGATCACTTGTTCCCTTTTATTTCTCTCCATGAAAATGGGGAGGTGAATATGGGGTGACAGAGACTTTACGTTAGAGTATTGCAGTGAAGTTTTCTGAGCTCTCAAGAATGTGGAGAAGAAAGGACCAGTGGGCGACTTCACTGCTCCGGGCAGAGTGAAGACCTAGCAGGGCGCCAGGTGACACCTCTGTGCTCCTTGCGCGCTGCTCTGCCCACGACGGGAAGTCTCTGTCCATAGGGCAGATGCTGGCTTTAATCCCGAGCAGATGGCGTGGTCGAGAAAGGAAGCGCTCCTCTCTCGAGGCAGACAACGCTGATCTCAGACTCTGCCGGCGCGTGCGGAAACAAGCATGCTCCAGGGGACACCGCTGCACACCCTCTGGGACTCTGAGGAGCCACTGCAACTTCCTGGCCTCCTGACCGTTCCAGGAGTAGGGGTCATGACCATGTTGTGGCCATGGAGCTTTTCTGTCCCTTGTTCCTTCTTGTTCCTTCCTTCATCTGTTATCAGTGTATCATAAGATTTTAAACCACAGCAGGATCGGGAACTTGGTCCCATCCAGAAACTATTTTCAGGACAGTTTCCTGGGAATCATCTAAGAAGTATTTGTGATGGCTATATAGGTAATGTCATAGATGCCAAGTTTTAACCTCTGGAGCTAGGTACTGTCTTCAAGCCTGCAGTTTTTCAGAATGTTGGTGACAAGAACACCAGTGAGAAAGGCAGTAGCTCTTTGACATGGGATACAAGAGGAGAGGGGACAGCTGCCTAAAGAAGCAGGGGTGCTGCTTGGAGGGGAGGGGATCAAGGTCTGTGGCTTCAAGGCAACACAAGGGGCTCTAACTATATGAGAAACTCTTTCCCCATTACCTGTAAATCCTTGACAAGCTGACCCTCTGGGCCCCCAACCTGGACCATAGGCCTTGTCTTCCTGGTCGGAATTACCTATTCGACCATTTCTGACCATTTGCTGTTTCATTTCATTTTCTCATTTCTTACCCTAACCCAATCATTTTAAGTGAGTTCTGGGTTTACTCTGTACTGTGTGGCATCCCAGGGAATATAGGAATTATCTTCGAATGGGCCTTCAGACACTTAAGAGTCAGCACAGGGTCGGCAGACTACTGCCCGTGGGCCCCATCCCACTTCACCCTGTTTTCATATGACCCTCAGGCTAAAAATGGTTGATATATTTTTGAAGAGGTGTTAGAGAAAAAGAAAAAGACACAACAGAGATGGGAAAGATAGAGGTGACAGCCATCCAGAACCCAGGGGGCGTGTCCAGCTCGTGCACAGCTACAAAAGACAGCTAAGCACATGCATGCACCACTGTTGCTAGAGCACAGCAGACTGGAGAGGTGTCCTGAGCATATGAGGCGTGAAGGACAAACAAAGCTGGGGCCAGATCAGCTAGTGCCTCAGACAGACCTCTGTGGATCCATTAGGACTAAGTAGTAACAGATACTTGGAAAACAATAGTTTAAGCAAGATAGAGCGAGCTCTCTCGATCTTTGTGTGTGTGTGTGCACACACCTGTGTGTGTCAGACAGACAGACACACACACACACACACACACACAGCCTGAAGGTAGGCAGTCTAGAGCTAGACTGGCAGATCCACGGAACCCAGGTTCCTTTCAGCTTTCTGCCCCATCATCCCTCAGGTGA